TTATTTATTTTTGAGAGACAGAGAGAGAGGAAGCGTGAGCAGGAGAGGGGCAGAGACAGAGGGAGACACAGAATCCGGAGCAGGCTCCAGGCTCTGAGCTGTCAGCACAGAGCCCAACGCGGGGCTCAAACCCATGAGCTGTGAGATCATGACCTGAGCCAAAGTCAGACCCTAAACCAAGTGAGCCACCCAGGCGCCCTGAGAATTGTACTTTCAAAGTTCAAAAGGCATCTGACAGAAGAGCTGAACAACTTAGAAGAATTTCCAAAAGAAAGAAGAATCATGAAGCAACATTTATATTAGAAACTCCTAATTAAGTCTCCTACTGATATCCTCTTGAACTAGATGAAATCTGGTAGACTTGAGAATGTAACTAATAAAAGAAACTTTACTAGAGAATAAACTATACTATTAGAAAATAAATATACCAATCATATTTGTAAGCTATCTAGCACAGCTACAATAATATACTCAAGTTATTAACAGATTTTAATCATAAAGAAAAGGTGTTAAAACAAGCACACAAATAGGAATCAGACAAGAGAGCACTAGAATGTAAATATTTCTAAAAATGCTCTGAAAAATCAACATAATCTTCCACAATAAGCTTTTACCTTCATGTCAAATTCAGAGTTCAGTGGTGTATGGAAGAGAGAAGTTATAAACAGTCTGGTTTTAAGGATGAAAAAGGAAAGAAGAATTTTTGTTCAGGCTGTCACAGAAGTTAGTGATCAAACATTTGACTAGTGAGATCTAAACGGAACAGAAACCACACAATGCAGTATCAGAGAGTAAATGTCAGAAAAAAAGAAACCATTTTGATGCCACACATGGGACAAGTGACGAGACCAGACAATGTTCAAGTTAGGGGGCCAAGGGACAATTAAAGATGGCAGGAATTACTTTATGGATTTCTACCACAGAACTTTAACTGGTTGCTGTAGCTTTATCTCACCCTTTGAATTTAATTTATACACTATTCTTACCAAAAGGAAGAAGGAAAATCCATGCCTGCCTGAGAAATTTGTCCATACAGAATACATTTACTCCACCAATCTCAACTTCTCTTTTTTCTCTCCCCACAAACTATGGTCTTTGGACCTACTTAATCCCACTCAGCTTTTTTCTTTTTAAAATTTTTATTATTTTTTTAGTAAACATTTTTTTTTTTTTTTTTACACATATATATTTATTTTGAGAGACAGAGTAAGAGAGAGAGTGCACGCCTGCATGCGGGAGAGGGGCAGAAAGGGAGGGAGAGAGAATTCCAAGCAGGCTCCACACTGTCAGCGTAGAGCTCATAAACAGTGAGATCATGACCTGAGCCAGAATCAAGAGCCAGACGCTTAACTGACTGAGTCACCCAGGTGCCCCAAGACTTTTTTATTATTTTCAGGTAATCTCTATGCCCAACATGGGGCTTGAATTTACAACCTTGAGATCAAGAGTCACATGCTCCACTAAATGGCCAGCCAGGTGCCCCCACCCCCCCACCTTATTTCTTATTTGGTAACCCTAACAAAGTCGTTTGCATGATATAATTCTCTCCTTGTTGACATATTACTTTATTTGTATTTTAAACTGTACTTACCCTATGTGTGCCTGCTTCCCTGCCAGATTAAAAAGAAAATCATCCAGAAGACTACTCTCTGCAACTTCCTGGGGTTCTCAAGTGTGTCCAAGGTGGAGACTGTGTTACTGCTTGTCCCCTTGGCTCCTCTGGCAGACTGCTGGCCTGTTACTGAGGCTCACGCACCCTACCTCCCACTGTCCTCTAGAGGCACGGCCCCCTGCACCTCAGGTCCTTATCCCTCCCCGCTCTACCCTTTGTTCAAGTTATTACTGTACACAGCATAATACACATTTCCCTATTTGCTATTCTGGAATGACACCACCGCTTCAGATCTGTGTCCTGTGGGAAAGCTCTCTGGTTTAACCCAACCCTTTCAACCATCACACGCAGCCTGCCAGGAGGACAGGCTCTGGACAGTAAGAGGAATTTGGAAGTCTAGTATCTCACTAAAAAATCTGCACTTAAATTTAACTTACTGTGAAGAACACTTCACGATTATCATCTGAATTTTGATTCTAAAAACTAAGAAGTAACTTCCATTTCTTTTGCGAAAAACAAATTTTCTTGCAAACAGGTAAAATTTCGTACCTTTCTTTCCCATTCTGAATTACTGAATGTCTGTCGGCTGTAGTTCTTTCACTGCAGACGTAAGTATTGCGCCGTGTCATTCCACCAGCTGCTGTATTACTCTATAAAAAAGGGGGGCCCATTTTTGTCTTAAACCATTTAGAAATAAGTATAGTACAATGAGAAAAAAATTCTTACCTAAATACACACAATTTAATCCTTATTTTTAAATTTATTTGTAATGCTTATTTATTTTTGAGAAAGAGCACATGTGTGCACATGAATGGGGGAGGGGCAGGGAGAGAGGGAGACACAGAATCCGGAGCAGGCTCCAGGCTTCGAGCTGTCAGCACAGAGCCTGACACGGGGCTTGAACCCAGGGACCATGAGATCATGACCTGAGCCGAAGTTTGGACACTTAACTGACAGAGCCACCTAGGTGCCACTGGAGACTGAATTTAAATTGTAGGGCTATGACATGACAAACCAATTTTATGGAATTAGGAAGCCAATAAAAAACCTTTTACAGGATGCCTGGGCAGCTCAGTTAAGGAACCGACTCTGGATTTCGGCTCAGGTCATGATCTCACAGTTCATGAGTTCTGGCCCCACGGTGGGTTCCGCACCGACGGTGATTGTGGAGTCTGTTTGAGATTCTCTTTCTCCCTCTCTCTGCCCCTCCCCTGCTCACAGGCTCGCACGTGCTCTCTTGCTCTCTCTCAAAATAAACATTATTAAAAAACAAACAAAAACAAAAAACCCTTTCACACAGGGTTTACTCTGATAGAACGCAAGGTCAGAGGATGGAGCAGACAAAACCCTTTGACCTCTGTCATGAGCTCCTATCCCCAGAACGGCACATACAAAAGCCTCCTAAAAGCAGCAGCAGAGCTTCCATGTGGGTCCCTCACTCTGGGTTTTGTGTTTTTTTTTTTGTTTTTTTTTTGAGGTAGAGGGAGGGCTGTGTCATTGTTAACTTTGCAGGAAAAAAAAATGTGGTCACAGAATATCCCTCAGACTGTATATGCTCTGCAAATTCTTTCTAGAATTACTTCAGGAGTGCTAAGAATAAGAATTACTGTATTAGGTCAGAGAGAACACATTTCAATTCACAGAAAAGTTCCTGAAACTGAACAGACTTTAACAAATACTACCTATTTAAAGGGGAGATTTGTCAAGGATACGGATTAAGAGATGGACTCAGATCAGCAATATAATTTTAGGCAAAGACTAACTTTTCTTCATTTTTTCCACTTTAAAATTTAGCTGGTACATGCAAAAGCATTTGGCACAGTCCTTGGCACAAGGTAAGGACTTGGTCAAATGTTCTTTATTGTCAGAGCCCTTTGAGGATGCACGCCACATCCTTGGCCCCCACATCCCTGGCCCTCAGGCAATCAGATGTCCCAGAGTCCTGCACAGAACCCGTTAGGCATCTTCTGTCCGCGGTTTCTTGTTGGCACTGTCATCATTTGGTTTTATTTCCTCAGACTATGAGGCATTTCTATTTCTCAGGACCCGATACAACCTAAAGCTCAGATGTTTGTGGAATAGCCAGAAACAGCCCTTGACACAAAAGATCGGGTCACTAATCTAGTGGGATGGGGTGCAGCAGGAAACCCCTTCAACACAGGTATTGAAAGTGATCCCTACAGGTGGGAGACTGGGCATGGTGGCCTGGTGGGGACAGCACTGCAGGTAGTTGAGAACACAGGAGTCATATGTCTAGACCACCCTAACCCTACAATCTTAGGAACGCTCTGCAGTTTAACAATACTTACACTAGGGACAGTAGAGCTTTTCTTGCGTTCAGGAATGTCAGCCTTATTGGGATTACTTGCATTCCCAAGCATGGGGCTGGCTGGAGCAGTTCCCTTTCCTCCGACAGCACTGCCGCTTGTTTTCCGGGAAGGAATTCCGTCTTCTTTGAGGTCACTATCTGCAGTGCTGGTCTGACTCCTTTTTGGATACGCCACAACTGAAGGGATAGCTGGTCCAGCTAAAATAAAACAGTTTACTTTTTAAAAGCCAGAATATAGTTTTATATTTTAGTCTGTGAAAACCAACGTATTTAATAAGATGACCCAAGACTGCTATCATCTAAGAAAATACAAGACAGTAAAATCCTGTAAGAGATTTCCCACCAAGTATAATGTCCTTCCTTATACAATGAATTCAATTTTGAAATTTCACTTTTGTCCCTTTCTATTGAAAAATTAAAAAAAAAATTATTAGTAAGTTTGTATAGTATTTGTGCTTCAGAAATACCTTCAGGGAGAGTTGTCCACTGAAACAATCTCTAGAGTGTTACTGTACAAATAACAAACAAACTAAGCGGGTGCATGTGTATCATGGCAGCGTGAACTACTTCACCTGGTACATCTGAGAGAACCTTAGTTATCCTTTTTTGTACACAAGATGTGTTCACCTTTTGGAACAGAACAGTACAGACTTATGGGTCATTACTTCTGAAGTGTTATCCTGGATCTTTTGTAAAGCATTCGGAATCTTCTAGATAAACAGGAATTTGAGTAGACAGGGAAAGGTGACACAGGCAGAGGAAAGCATGTTCCTCATGCAAGCGACAGGGAGGAAAGGCGGCAGAGGTTCCCAATCACACCCCACCCCAGGAGGAGTGTGCCTAGGTACATCCTGGATGGGCAATTAACCGATATCCTACAAAATAGCATCAGGAGAGTCTGATGGCAGCACAGGAATTTGGAGTTCAAAGCATTTTGGAGATGAACAAACTCATATATAACTCATATATTCATTATGTATACTATCCAGTGGTCATCTTCAAGAATGGCACCAAATGCTCATCATTTATAGTAGAAGAAACTTTATATTTAGGTGTACTAAAAAGGGGTTGGGGTGGGGTAGAAGAAAACTACTTTTTGGACAAAATCTAAATGGTAAATCTATTTGGAACTGAATTAAAAGTAAACAAAAGTTTGTTTTTATTTATGGGAGGAAAAAAACTAAGCTTCCAGTTTGGGAAATTTACCACATAAAACAAAGAATTAACCAAGCATGTGTGATACTACCCTTAACACTTATCTTTCTTTGCAAAATCATGAGGCAGCTAAGGACATCCTGCACTTTCAGGGTTACTGCTGATCTGCTCTGAAACTTGGCTCAGACCGCATGGTCTCACCAGAGCCACTTGCGTCCGGGGCAAGTTGAGCTCCAACGCACATTTACCACCTGGTTGGTAAATCCGGGCCAACACCAGTCACGCCAGAGCAGTCCTGTCCCGAGGACTGTGTGGACTGCCTTTGCCAGCACAGCCACCTCCTCCACCGTGGCCTCCAGCTCCCTCAACCCTGGTAATCACTGGTCTGGTCTCCATCCCTCATTCTCTCCTTTCCAGAATGTTACATGAATGGAATCAATTTCATAACACCTTTTGAGATTTTTTCTCCATTCCGTGTAGTTCCTTTGAGATCTATGCAAATGGTTGCACCTATCAATACTTTGTTCCTTTTTATTGCTGAGTAGTGTTCCGTGATGTGGCTGTCTCACAGAGAAATGTGATTTTTATGTAGTCAAACTTGGTAAACATGTCTTTTCTTTCATAACTATTAGTGTTGGGGTTTCGGTCAGAACGACCGTCACTAGTCCAAGTTATAACGCGAAAAGCAAATTATCTCGTGTTTTCTTTGACTATTTCCATGTTTTTCACATTTCCATCTTCATTCCAAGTGGAACCCACCCTTGTGTAAGATGTGAGAAATGGATACAGATTTATTTTTTTCTGATCACTACCAAACTGCCCCAGTGCCCCAGAGTAATAAGCCAGTGATTCTTTACTTTTTCCCCCCTAAGACAAAGAACGCTTTGAAAATCGAACGAATATCACCTTTCCTAGAAAAATATGTGCACACATCCCAGGGGTTCACACCTGGGACCCAAATTAAGAACCACAGATAAAAGTTAAGTTATACTTTCATAGAACCAGGCCTATAGAAACAGCTGGCATCTGGAAGGAGGAAACAAGGGGAGAGGGAAGAGGAAGGACAAGCTGAAAGCGGGGTTAGCTGTAGGCTTGTCTGCCTTTACTCAGTACCAAGTGAGTGTGCTTTACTAGACATTGCATTTGGAATCTACCTCATTCTTAGCCCTTAAAACTACACAGCCAGAGGTATAACAAAATCTTTCCTTTGCTGACCACCATCTTCATCCCCATAAAGAATAAAAAACAACACAGAATTGGGTGACTTTCTATATATACTTGGATTTCTGGAAATATTCTTTTTATGAAAATTTTTTGGTACTATTTTTTCTTTTTTTTTAAGTAGGCTCTGTGCCCAACATGGGGCTCGAACTCACGATTCTGAGATTAAGAGCTGCGTGCTCCACTAATGGAGCCAGCGAGGTGGCTTTCATGAACTTTTTGCTATTAGAGGCTCCAAGAAGGAAGGATCATTATCATCACACAAAGAGCACTCCCTGAGGCAATCAGTGGGTCAGTGGGCAGAGCCACGGGACCTGGCCCCTGAAGTCCGGGCATGCTGCCACAGGTACTCCCACATCCTTGTAACCCTGGGAGATGTGGTGGGCCCTCTTGATAAAATTGGAGGTTTGGTGAGTGTCTGACACCATGTCTAATGCTCTTCTTAGCTCTAAAATTTTCTGAACTGGGTGAGAAAGGCATTACCAATCCAAATGGAATATATATGCTTACAGAAGAATTAACTTATTAAGATCGTCACTAGAGACAGGAGAAAACTCTATTACCAGGCTTTTCCCCTCCAAGACTTTAGGAATAATTCCCTTTAAACTGGATGGTCCAGAGCAATCTGGAGGCATTTTGCTAAATGCCTTGTTGTCTAGAGGCAATGAAAATCCCTCCTTAACAACTAATCTGAACATGGACAGAAACAGAGACCCAGATCAACACTTGGTTTACAAATGCGATGTGCACAATACCTAGTGTCAGAATGGGTCCTCGGCTCTCAGTTACGTCCTAGAATAGCAGACACGCTCACAGTTTACCGGCAGCTTCAGTACATGGTGCTGCACCAGCCCAGACCACACAGACAGGCAGCACATCAACAGGAAGAGAAACGGACACTGAGCAAAGTGTCATCGCTCCTGGTACAAAGCCAAAACTATCCACACGGGAATGTTCTGTGCCACCGTCAAGCACCAAAACTCAAGGTGAAAGAATGAAAGCGGACAAAGTCCAGAGAAGGGAAATGAACTGAACAAAAAATAAATGGGTGTTCCGTGAGAGGATGTATTTTTATAATTTTTTTTTAATAATTTTGTTTTAACATTTATTTATTATCGAGAGACAGAGAGACACAGAGCGTGAGCAGGGGAGGGGTAGAGACAGGGGGAGACACAGAATCTGAAACAGGCTCCGGGTTCTGAGCTGTCAGCACAAAGCCCAACGTGGGGCTCGAACTCACAAACTGTGAGATTATGACCTGAGGCGAAGTCAGTCACTTAACCAACTGAGCCACTCAGGCGTTCCGAGAGGATGTATTTTTATTTATTTTTTTTAAATTTTATTTAAAAAAAAAAAAAATTTTTTTTTTTAACGTTTATTTATTTTTGACACAGGGAGAGACACAGCATGAACAGGGGAGGGTCAGAGAGAGGGAGGCACAGAATCTGAAGCAGGCTCCAGGCTCTGAGCTATCAGCACAGAGCCCGACGCGGGGCTAGAACCCACGGACCGCGAGATCATGACCTGAGCCGAAGTCGGCCGCTTAACCGACTGAACCACCCAGGCGCCCCGAGGATGTATTTTTAAAAGTTAGGACCAGGCCAACTGGTCTAAGTTCCTGGATCTTAAAATGCTGGAGTTAAAGAAATACCTGCAACATTAACATTCACAGGTTACAGGCGAATAAACACACATCCATGCTAGAGTGTCTGGATTCCAACACAGGGTTGCCTTGAAGGTAGAATAAACTGTTAAATTTGGTACCCAACATCTCCTAGGGTCCCGAGTCTCATGAAAAATTCACTTCCATGGTGAATATGTTAAGAGTGAGGGTGTTCAGACACACCAATGGCCATAGTGCACCTGACAATGACCCAGGTCAAAAATTTAAACCAAGTAAGGCAAAATTGGGGTACTATGCATTCTCTATGGCTGGCCACATGTAGCTACATAAATTTAACTTAAACAAAACTGAAAACCATTTCCCTGGTTCAAGTGCCCAACAGCCAAGTGTAGCTACTGGCTACTCTGTTGGACACCATCGATCCAGAACATTTTCATCACAGCAGAAAGTGCTGGACAATGACGCTCGGGAAAGTAAGTCTGATGCAGAGATGGGGAGGGGAGTGAACAGAGAATCAGAGACTGAAGCGAGAGTCCCAGAGGACTGAATGTACCAAGGAGATCAGAGCCTGGAGATGATCAGGCCAACACTGGCAGGACTGGTAGGAAATAAAAGTCCTGAAGGGAAATCAAGTCACTTTCCCACCCTGACAGGCCTTAAGCAAAAGGATGCTTCCCAATATTAGGAGGCCTCTTGTGTAAGGGGAGACTCAAGGAAAACACAGTGGAACAGTCTCAAACTTACCATGGTCACTGTATCGCCTCTGCTTCTGGCTGGAAGAAACACTTCTCTGCACCTTGTGGTGAGGAGACTGGCCAGTGCTGTTGTTGAGGTCACTGCTTGGCCTAACCTTAGCAAGTGAGAGATTGCTGCTAGAACTGGAGTCACTAGCATCCAGCTGAGAGAAAATGAGAAGAACAGAGCAAACCACAACACGGACCCAAATGGTACGTTAGGAAACTAAACTTCTCGTAACACATAAACCTCTCACAAACAGTTCATTCACAGATGAAGAAGCACCATGTACAAAAACGACAACCTTACATTTGGGCAGATGTATTTTTCTGACTGCTGAAAAGCTCATGAAAGGACAGGTATTTATGACCTTTTTAGGCTTTTTCAAATAACGTAAAACACTCTCTATTTACTTCACCTGATACTTTATATCACTTCCAAACCATTAATGACCACAGGCTAACTTATGATGTTCATGTCTGTGACAACATCCAATGTTACAGTTACCATCTCAAAGTTGAAACAGGAGCTCCTAAAGGTGATAGCAGTTAGGTTCATCCTTTGCAGGCCAATTTCAAAATTACATACCCAATGTTATACATGTTAACAAAATAAACACTAAGAAAAGAGCTTTTGAAACTGATCATTTACATAAAAGTTGTATTAGCTCTTTCCAATTACTCTTACCTCTGAAGATTTTCTTCCCAACAACAAATATGTAGCTGTGATTTCATCATATTTCATTTTACTAAGAGATTCTTGAATTTCTTCTTCTGAATATCCCATTCCCACCATAATATCTAAAAGAAGGGCATAATACAGTTGATGTGTTTTGTCTGGATACGAAATCACTGTGTTAGATATTAAAATAATTTCCTTTACTCGACTCTAAACATCATAGATTTTCTAATTTAAATGGGCGGTTGGTTTACTTCTGAGTAACTATAAGGGATAACACAGGAAACTACAGGTGGGTTCCTAATATGACAAAACAGATAAGCTGACTCATATAACTTATGTTTCGCTTCCCACCGTTCACACTTGAGGTGTATGCATACGAGTCAAAACAGAAATATGCCACTTGCACACACACAAGCATGGAGGCACAGAGTAATTACCTATTCTCTTCTGGTCTGAGATGTCCAGTTCTGGTTCAACAAATGGTTTAAGTTCATCTTCTTCGTGCCCTGCGTTGATCCATCTGTCCTTCATGATTTGCTGAAAGGTCAACTGTTCATTAGCAGCATAAAATAAAACATGCTAATAACCACAATATTTAGAAAAAATTATTTTCAACATTTCATGGATTACAGCTCAAAAGGTAACTTTAAAAAAATGTTTCTGGGTGCCTGAGTGGCTCAGCCAGTGAACGTCCGACTCTTGTTTTCAGCTCAGTTCATGATATCACAGTCTTGTGAGATCAAGGCTCACAACGGGCTCTGTGCTGACAGCATGGAGCCTGCTTGGGATTCTCTGCCCACCCCCCCCTCCCCCAATCCCCTGCATGCTCACGTGTGTGTGGTCACTCTCTCACTCTCAAAATAAATAAATAAACATTAAAAAAATGTTTTGGGGAACCTGGGTGACTCAGTCCAGTTGGGCGTCCAACTTCAGCTCAGATCTGATTCCACTGTTTGTGAGTTCGAGCCCCATGTTGGGGCTCTGTGCTGACAGCTCAGAGCCTGGAGCCTGCTTCAGATTCTGTGTCTCCCTCTCTCTCTGCCCCTCTCCCACTCTGTCTCTTTCTCTCAAAAATAAATAAACGTTAAAAAAAGCTAAAAAAAAAAAAAAAAAGTTTTAATGCCTCAATTCCTGCTTTAAAAGCCCCAGGGCAGTATTCTCATACAAACCAAGCAAAGTTCTACAAATACCTTAAAGACCCTCCAAAGTTGTTACTTACTTTGCACTTATGCAATTACCTCTAGAGTGCCTCGTTTTATTGGATTTAGCACCAGGAAACGTTTGAGAAGGTTTTCACAGTCTGTGGACATGTAGAAAGGGATTCTGTATTTCCCTCTTAATACTCTTTCTCTCAGTTCCTTTGGGGATGGAGGGAGGAAAGAAAACTAGTGAGTCAACTTTTAGGTTAAAAAAGAACCAGTGAGACCCCATGATACTGACAGATTCTTATAATGTTAACCCTCATCATTTTATAAAATCTTTTGCATTCTGAAGAACGTGGATGCAACTGGTTCTAATACCTTTAGGTTCTGTCCGTCAAAGGGGAGCGACCCGCTGACAAGAGTGTAGAGGATGACGCCCAGGCTCCACACGTCCACTTCTGGCCCGTCGTATTTCTTGCCCTGGAAGAGCTCTGGGGCTGCATATGGAGGACTGCCACAAAACGTATCCAGTTTACTGCCAACAGTAAATTCATTGCTAAAACCAAAGTCAGCTATTTTAATGTTCATATCAGCATCTAACAATAGATTTTCGGCCTAGAGGGAAAACATCAAGACAAAAATGAAATTTAACCAAAATATAATTAGAACTGTGATAGAATTAGGCATTTCATAAAAGCTTTCTGTAATGATATCAAGTTAATATATCCTAATGAATAAAATGAGAAAACATTCTTTCTAGAGGGAAAAAAAAAAACAACCCTGAAGATAATTAGAATTTCTAATTCTTTTTTTTTTTTTTTTTAAGTAATTGCCACACCCAATGTGGGCTCAAACTCACAACCCTGGGACCAAGAGTCAGATGCTCTACTGATTAAGCCAGCCAGGCGCCCCAGAATTTCTAATTTTTTAAACATTAACAACCAGTAACAGATATGAGGTATAGATTAACTGGCAATAATTTAAACAACCAATGCCCATGATAAAAAAAAAAACAAAAAAACCTTGAAATAGCTTTTCAATTAATAATGATAAACAGCTTTTAAAAAATGAAAACTTGTTTTAAGTGGACAACCATGTTTCATAAAAACTGCCAAAGAGCTGTGCAATGGCTATTATTGGGGAGGGAGAACCTAGGCCTCATAGAAGATACAGAGCCAGCCACTTTCATTTATTTCAACAAACATTTACCACGTGCCAATCACATACCAGGAACAGACATGGTGTCTGGATGTACAATGATGAATAAGATAGATGGAGTCTTGCCCTCAAAGAGCTCATAGGTTGGAGGGGGAAAGGCAGAAAGTCAAGTAGCCACACTCTGACCTGAGTGCCAAGACAGGAGGTGTGGGGAGTTGTGGGCCTAGCACTGAAGGAGCAGAAAGGTCTCCTAGAGGGGCGAAATCAAAGCCACTGCCTGGAGGCTTGGTCAATAGTAGTGGGTGTGTTGGCCCGCAGAATACAGTCTGAAAACCCAGGAGGAAAGATAGACCATGTTTTACTCAAGAAACTGAAAGACAGTATATGGAAAAGAGGTGCAGGGATATGGCGATGACTGAATCACAAAGGGCCAGTTGAGTGACTGGTAGGAAGTTTGAGTTTTCAACCTAATGGCAATGGAAAGCCATTAAAGAGTCACTCAAACAGGAAAGCGACAATGTTATTTGTGTTCTTAAAAGACCACTGTGGTTGTAATGTGTAAAACAGACAGGACAGGGAGAAGCAAGATTGGAAGCAGGGAAGACCAAGCAAGAAGCTAGTGTACAAGATGCTGGTGGTCTAGATGAGAACAGTGGTAACAGGGACAGAGAAGAGTGTGCTCAAGACAGGTTTAGCAAAAGGGCCTGGGGGCTGAGAGGGCAGCAGAGCAAAGGAGACTGAGGCACCGAGGGACACAAGCACCAGAACGAGAGGTGAACATTCTGGGGCAGCAATGAAGAAGGCAGGCTGTGGACCTGAGCAGGGGCGCAGGTGGTGTGGTCAGACAGCTGGGCACCAGACTGCAGAAGACAGCTCTGGCTGCAGGCATGGATCCAGGACTCGCCAGCATGCAGGTGGCCACTGCAGCTACCAGCGCAGGTGCGAAAGCAGCACGGGTGGGTATGGGAAACAGGGAGGAATGTGGACAATGTTTGGGGAGATATGTGGCAAAGGCGGAGAGAGAAAACGGAGGGTATCTGGAAGGGGACGTGGGGTGAAGAGGTGTTTTGGTGAAGGTAGTACAGACTTGAGCATGTTTTTTTTTTTTTTTTTTTTTTAAATTTTTTTTTTTTTTCAACGTTTATTTATTTTTGGGACAGAGAGAGACAGAGCATGAACGGGGGAGGGGCAGAGAGAGAGGGAGACACAGAATCGGAAACAGGCTCCAGGCTCTGAGCCATCAGCCCAGAGCCCGACGCGGGGCTCGAACTCGCGGACCGCGAGATCGTGACCTGGCTGAAGTCGGACGCTTAACCGACTGCGCCACCCAGGCGCCCCAGAGCATGTTTTTGTAAAGGCTGCTGGTGAGGAGCCAGCAGGTAGAGAGGGTGGATGAAGAAACAGGAGTCAGGAACCAGGACCCAGAGGCAGGGCCTGCAGGGCCAACCTACTGACCATAACAACAGGAAGGGGGCATGTGGTACAGCTTACTCTGGGAAACCAAAGGAGTTCCTGCCTGGTGGAAACTAGAAAACCTTATCCTATGCCAAGAGCGAGGGCAGAGGTGAAGGAAGGATGGTGCAGCAGTGTCTCCAACGGCACTGCTGTTAACAGAAGACAATGCTGACCAGAGAAACAGAGGGGGCCAGGTGGCGCGGAGGGCACTGTCCACGTGACAGCACACGTCTCGGAGGCCCCCAGCTGTTTGGCAGCATGATGGTTTTTCTCCAGAGACCAGCTATGAGCTACGTTAATTGAAATGTAAAATATTTTTAATAAACTTCCTACTTCTTTCTTTTTAATACCAAAACCTGATTAAAAGGATCAATTATTATAGGATTTATTTTTTTCTTATTTAATAACACAGTCTAATCTGTGACCGCTAGGAAAACTGAGTGCATGCAGATAGAGCACACGCTCACAGACTAAGGGCCCCACAACTTACCTTGAGGTCTCTGTGAACAATCCGCTTTTGGTGGCAGTACTGGACTGCAGATACTATCTGCACAGGAGAGACACAAGGTTATTAATCATCATTAAGAAGAAAAGACTCCATTGATGTTCACACATGCCAAATACTTAGCGATCACCTGAATGTGTGGATCTCTGAAAATAATTTTCTTGTGCTTTGAACTTTCCAATTCGGAGAAATTCAGGGGTGAGGGTGAGAAGAGAAGGGTGAGGATGTTTTTGCTGCTCTCTAGTTTTAACTGTAAAGTCTCCTTTGGGACCTACCCCTTGACATTCCGGTTCTTTGGGAATGGTGCCAGGGTCCAACAAATCACCAGGATCTTGAGGACCCTCTTTGTCCCCAGACCCAGGATCGGATGGCTCGGGTGCAAGCTTCCCATACTCATGTAATTAACTCAAAACCAAACTGGCAGTTACAGACTATCAATGGCTAGGCGTCCATCCAGGTCGGGTCTCCTCTGTTAATCACTTCTCTTCCCAGTCAGACTGCTCCTTATAACACTCTCTTCCTTTTAGCTGATGTGGGTGCAAAGACAGCAAAACTTACTTCACCTCTCTGAGGATCAGTTTCCTCTTCCTCAAAGCGGAAGAGTAAATGTTGTAACGTGTGAACTACAAACCATGGAATGGTTGTGTGCTCCATCGATCAGGGTCCCTTCCACACTCAGCAAATGGTATGCTTTTATTTAGTCCACTTTGGATTATTCCTGTGATTAGTACTGCTGATTAAACAACTATTTTGCTGAAATTTCACACTTCCGCCTAACTTTTTAAGAAGTCTCCTTTTCTAAATATGAATGTTTTAGATGCTCATTATAGGAATTTTAGGAAATACAGAAAGGTATATATAAGTACATGACTGATAACATCTCTTGTTGTTTTACTGTATCTGCTTCTAGTCTTTTCATTGGTATTATGCCTGTGTAACTATGTATGACCACATATACACAAAACTGGGGTTCTAAAGCTTTCTCCAGATCATCATCAGCTTTTAGTTGTAAGCCCCACACACCCACCTACACTGGACATAAACATTCAGAGAGGCTGTTTTTTAAGGAGGCTCCGCACCCAGTGTGTGGTATGAGCTCACTGAAGAGTCGCATGCTCTACTGATTGAGCCGGCCGGGCACCCCAGGCTGTTTTATCAATTTGCATTTTGGTTCAAAACAGGCAGCAAGGAGAAGCTGGACTGGGGTTAGGGTGAGGTGATGCCAAAATCAGGGCTTCACTAAGCAGCTTCATAAAGTGAATAGTCACAAGATCAGATCAGATCCACTTATAACCAACAAAAAATAGAAAATTTCTAATGGTAAAATACGGTTTAGAACACTTGTTACCTTGGATTAGCATTTACACTTGTTCTAGTCTGTCTGCATGAAAACTGAGAAAATGACATTGCTTTGTTTTCCCAAGACAAACACGTTTATTGCCTGAAACACAGGTAGAGTTTACCTTCCTTCTGCCTGATGATCTGATTTTCCCTCTCCTGCCATACTGAGATTCCCCTACAGGTTATTTCCAAACCCTGTTTTTCAACCAGATTTGACCATCTCCCATCCTTCCTCAAAGAGATCACAGAACTTCTCCTACCTTAGAACAAGTGAACCTAAAGCCACAATAGCCTGAAAATGGTCAACTTTAAATCACTGCGGTATTTTTTGCATTCTTTTAAGCTAGAAACAATTCTTTCTTTAAAAAAAACAAAAACAAAAACTGAGGATCTGTGTGTTTTCCAGATTGAAATATGAACACAAGCCTAATTTGCCTCTAGCCAGACAGGAGACAACAGAGGCAGCAATGTTACCAACCCCCTAAGAAGAAGGTGAGGAAGGCAAGACGGAGCCGGGAATCTAGTCTTTCTCTCTGAAAACAACAGAGCTCTTGTTCAAAAGCTTAAAACCACACAAGCAGTCACTAGGAGGAGAATGGCGAAGGAGACATCACCTGCTAACGGATGTGAAAAGAAAGGCCTATTTCTGACACAAAACATGATCCTACCGAGTGTACTTTTTGTACGGCATACCTTCTTCTTTGCCACAAACAGGAAAACGTATTCAAGAAAGGATGGCTTATAACCTTTTGGAAAGCATGGCTATTCGAATCAGAGCAAAGAGGAAACACCAGTATCTCACTTGATCCTTCCAGGCTTAAGTGAGGGGTCTTAAGGAAATACTAAGGCAAGAAGAAAGAATTACATTAAATTGTAAGCAGTGTAAATCAAGTCATTCGTAGGAAAGGCACATACACTATCTTTCCTGGACAAACTAATAGGTTCCTCAAATAAAGAACTCAGAATTTCTGCAGAAAATTTAAAATAACTGAGCAAGTGCCTCAAGATTTGGGGTAGTCGATGTCCAAGCCCCTCTGACAAGTGAGACCCCGCCAGGGGGCTGGGTAGAGACGGAAGAAGTGAGGGGCAGTTACAGGGTTAAGCACCGAGCTGCTTCCTTGGAGAAGGTCAGGCTCAAACCTGTTGTTGCTGGCTGGCGCTAAGCAGCCCGCTCCTCACAGTCAACAGACCACATTCACATAAATGTGTGCAAGTCTGAGTGGGAAGGAACTGAAGTTTTAGGAGGAAAGAAAAAAAAAAAATCTTGGCTTTTAAGGGGCCAATTTACAAAAATTAAGAGTACAGTTATGGGAAGGGCCAAACAGGCTTGTCTTGTAATAAAGAGAACCTTGAGCTTCCCTCCACAGACCAGAGAATAAAATGATAGGAGAACTGGAAAGTACTTCAAAGTTTATCAAGTACAAATTCCAATTTTTGAGCTAGAAAAACTGAGGATATGAGAAGTTAAATAATAGCCAAAAGTTAGTTTCAAATTTTGATATTTAATAGGTTTTAATTCAAAGTATCATTAGTATTTAAGCTTTTAAATTAAATTTAAGGAACAGAAGTTAATCTGAGCAGCAAGTTCTTAACTGTAAATACCAGACTAAGCAAAAGAGGCAACTGTTAAAAGAAATCTGGAAAATCAACTAAAATTGTCTTTCCAAATACTATGAAATCTTTAAAGACTACTGTCTATACCTCTACTGTGGCAACCTTATAGATAAATAAAACAAAAAAATTAAAGGTTCTGAAACGAGGCTATACTGCCGTCTAAATACAGAACTGATTGATGTCTAGCGAAGTACAGAGTTAATTTAATGTTTTTATTTGTTTTGACAGAGAGAGTGCACGTACATGTGAGTGGGGGAGGGGCAGAGAGAGCAGGAGGGAGGGAGAGAGGGGGAGAGAGAGAGAGAGAGACAGCGAGAGACAGAGAGAGAGAACCCCAAGCAGGATAGAGCCTCATGCGCTCGATCCTAGGAACAGTCAGATCATGACCTGAGCCAAAATCAAGAGTCAGACGCTTAATCGCCTGAGCTCCCCAGGTGCCCCAGTACACAGTTAGTTTAAAAGCAGTAAAGGGGGTGCCTGGGTGGCGCAGTCAGTTAAACGTCCAACTTCAGCTCAGGTCATGATCTCACAGTTTGTGGATTCAAGCCCCACGTCGAGCTCTGTGCTAACAGCTCAGAACCTGGAGCCTGCTTCTGTTTCTGTGTCTCCCTCTCTCTCTCTCAAAAATAAGAAACATAGGAAGGAAGGAAGGAAGGAAGGAAGGAAGGAAGGAAGAAGGAATAGCTGAAGGAGAGGAGGAGGAGGGAGGGAGGGAGGGAGGGAGGAAGGAAGGAAGGAAGGAAGGAAGGAAGGAGGGAAAAATGCGGTAAAGTATCCTGCTCCTTTTCTGTGTCTATATCAAGGATGGGCAAATCATGGCCTTCAGGCTAAATCTGATCCACCACTTGTAAATAAAGTTTTGTTGGAACACATTCGTTGGAGCATATTCTTTTACAAACTGTCTACAGCTGTTTTTGTGCTACAATAGTCAAGTTAGATGGCTGTGACACAGGCTGTGTGGCCCACAAAGCCTGAAATATTTACTCTCTGGCGCTTTACAGAAAGAGTTGCCTGATTTGTAATCTAAAAAAACAGGAGAATATAACGATTAAGAATTTGAGTTTTTGAGTCAGAGGACCTGGGTCTGAATCACTGGCAGGTCTGCTACTTGCCAGACGTTATATTTTGGGCAAATTATTTAATCTTCCTGTGCCTCAGTTTCCTTATCTTTAGCAAATGAGCACAAGACCCCTTAATTCACAAAGGCTGCAGCAAGATTCACATTAATGTAGATAAAGCACTTATCCCAATATCTGGTAGGTAATGATCCATCAGTAAGTAGCAATTATGATTACTAAAAACAGGGAAGTTAGGTCACCTTTATATTTAAAACCTGCTTATTAAAATGAGCGTGTCTTTGGGGCACCTGGGTGGCTCAGTCAGTTAAGCATCCGACTTCGGCTCAGGTCATGATCTCACGGTCCGTGGGTTCGAGCCCCGCGTCGGGCTCTGTGCTGCCAACACAGAGCCTAGAGCCTAGAGCCTGCTTCGGCTCCTCTGTCCCTCTCTCTCTTTGCCCCTTCCCAGCTCGTTCTCTCCCTCTCCCTCTCTCAAAATAAATAAATAAACTTAAAAAAATAAAATGAATGTGTCTTTGAAGAGCAGGGTGAAGACAAAACTAATAATGAACTGTGGGACTGTGATACTCCTCTTGCTAAAAACCGGGAGATGGTTTTAATTAATGCAATCATAGGTGTTTTGAAAGACTAGATTTTTGAGGCTCAACTGTCAAAAGTAAGGTTAAGCGTGAGACTAAAATTCTGATAAAGCTAGAAATAGAACCCACAGTCATTTCTAGCACAGCGCCTTAGGCATGAAAGGCACTTAATGAATTTTTGTTGACCCGAATGGCCAACCCCCTACTCCATCCAATGGGACTTATAAGCATTTATTGAGGCAAACACTCTTTGCTTCAGGGTTTAAGCAAGATAACTTTATTAAATTAATAAACTGGAGGTGCATCAATTCATACCTGTCTAAATTTAGCTCTTGCTTCTTTTTCCTTCATTCTTCCATGTGCAACCAAATAGTCAAACACTTCACCTAAAATTGAGAAAAATGAAAGTAAGCAGAAGTCCTACTTTGGAGCACTAATTTTCCTATAAATTGATATTTCACTTTTAGGAATGCTCTAATTTTTATTTTTAAATCCAGGTTTGAAGATAAACAGAAACGTGGATTTTGAACTAAGTTAGCCTTAAGTTTAACTATAGGCAAAAGGTTCATTGATAAAATCTTTAAGCTAGAGAAAACACTTACAATTAAAATCTCTTAAGTTTATACAACTTTTATTTTAAGCATTATGCTTTCAATGTGCTTTAACAAAAACTGAAAACTAACATGGGAAAGTGATTTGTGTTAAAAGAGGATGACACCTTCATTGTGGGATTATGATAAAAGCAGTTCCTTTCTTCCTTCTTTCCAGAAGTATTTATTGAGCGCCTACTAGTTGCCAGGCACTGCTCTAGGCTCTGGGGAAAGACGGCAGTGAACAAAGCGAAGTCCCTTTCCTCGTGGAGAGTTTACAGTCTAGCAGGGAGAGACAATCAGTAAACAGGCGAAGAGCATCTTGGCTGACGAGGACGGTGGAGCAGACGCGGGGAAGTACGCAGAAAGTGTGTGTGCATGTGCAAGTGCTTTGCTGACTACTGTCAGGGGGTGGACAACGTCCTTGTCTGGGAGAAAGAGTCCGGGCAAAGAACAAGGAAGCCATGTGGCCGAAGAACCATGAACAAGGGGAAGGGCACAGAGATGGGAAGAAGGGGTGAGGTCGTAAGAGTCCTGCAGGCTTTGCTCTGAGTAAGAGGAGAAGCAGAGGAGAGTGTGAAATGACTGACCCCTTAAAAGGGTCACTGTGGCTGGGGGGAGGGTTGGGGAAGGTTGGGGAAAGAACAGAAGGACAAGTGGGCGTCGCGCAATAATCAGGGCAAGAATGAGGGAGGCTGGGCCTCAGTGGGAAGTGGTGGTAGTCAGGATGCGGTGGGAAGTTCGAGCCAACAGAACATGCTGGTGGACGTCTGGCTAGTAGTTTACACAGTATTGGTTCCTCAGCAAAAAGGTGACACTACAGAAAATGTATCAGAATTGCCAATTGCTTATCAATTTGGAATAAAGAAACAATACCTCAAATCAACAGAAAAGGGTATTAATTTAGCAAATTAGACATAAAATGTGTTTGGGAAAGCATCCCATCTACTTCATACAAATAAAGAATATTTCCATCAGCTTAGTGACAACTTTCAACTAAAAGATTTTTATACTAAAAAATGCTTATTAGTTTCAGAACATAACAAATACTTCTGGGGAAAAAGCTGCTCTGAATTGCACATTAGTATCTCCAACTTCTAAGCTTCTAGCCCTGACTGAAACATTTTTAAATAATGGATGGGCATAAATACTGTATTTTCAAGTTCTCATTTGACTGCATAATGATCTTTTCAAAGGCATTACATAATGTTAATTTACACTACACGATTCGTGTTAACTATGATGAATTATGAAGTTAAATGTCAGCTAAGTAAAATGTCAGCATTTTCTAAGCGAATGACCTTTCTATTTGCAGAACAGTATACAATGTCAAAACAAGTGGTTAAAAAGTGAAAACCACTAAAGATATGTGCATATCCTATGAAAAACAGTTTTGACTTAAAAAAATTAATGGATTAATTAAACCCACTAGTTGTTGTAGAGTAACATGGAGAAAGGTCTGTCAATATAATTTTAAAATAGTATTTTTATAAATTCAAAATTTATAAATTATAAACCTCTTAAGAGATTTGGAACCATGAAGTCACACTCACAATTACTAAGTTACAAATCAGGAATTCAACCCAGATCTCTTTATTTTCCTCATTAAAAGCGTATTAGCACTCAGATTAAGTAGCTAAACTGAAAAGCTCAAAAGGCAATTTATTAGGAAAAAGAGCACACAGTGGCTCTCCCCACCCAGGTCAGGGACCATGCAGTTTGACAGGAAGCCCTTCGTCCTAGCTCAGGTCCTGCCACTACCTAGCAGTGGCGCTGCTGGCATAGAACAACCTATCAGAGCTTTACTTTAAAAATTACTTAAAATTTTTTTGTGGGAGCGCCTGGGTGGCTCAGTCAGTTAAGCGTTCAACTTCGGCTCAGGTCATGATCTCACAGTTCGTGAGTTTGAGACCCTCGTCAGGCTCTGTGCTGACAGCCCGGAGCCTGGAGCCTGGAGCCTGGAGCCTGCTTTGGATTCTGTGTCTCTCTCTGCTCCTCCCCCCGCCCCATGCTCTGTCTCTGTCTCTCAAAAATGAATAAATATTAAAAAAAAAAAAAAATGTGGGGCTCAAACCCACAGATTGTGAGATCACGACCTGAGCTGAAGTCGGACGCTTAACTGACTGAGCCACCCAGGCGCCCCCCCAAAATTACTTTAAATTAAGTAAATTAATTTACTTTAAAAATTAAGCAGTTACCTTGGATGACTTCTAAGATTCCTTCCAATTCTAAAATTCTATGATTCTACCAAACTGAAAAATACCAGGCTAGGGAGGAGTAGGTAGTCAATTTATGAAACTCTGGGTTGTTCCAAATGGCAAATGTATCAACAATAAAACAGATGTCCTGGAGACAGTGCTTTGTTGAGCTGATTAAAACAGCCCAAGCCAGAAAACCACATCACCAATGAACAGTGCCCGTTACAGCGCTGAGCCCCGCACTGAGCCCTCAAAGGAGGGCTGTGTTAGCATGTCCACTAAGAGGCTCAGAGACATGTTAATTTATCAGATCACACTGTCAATGAGAGGCACTGGCTGGACTGACCCCACGTCTGTGTTTTTAAAAGCCCACCCTCTTTCTACTAAAAGTGGATGTTTCTAAGATGTTTTTGCCTTGCCCCTACAGAAGAGCAATCTCTATGACCCCTAAAATACATGGGAACAGAAAGCCACGACCAACTGACCACTCAGGAGAGGCTATCGACTGTCAGAAGGCTCGGGCTCCAGGCCTGACAGCGTGACCACAATGACTTCCCAGCCTCCATTTCTTCAAGGGTAAAAAGCCCATCCTTCACTGCCTGGCCACATCAAGGAGTCATTGTGAAGGTCAAAGGAGATCAGGTAAGAGAAAGCACTTGTGCGCTGCAGAAGCTACACCAATGAAAAGGTTATGAACATAATTCTGTAACACAAGTAGAAAGCATTAGAATTCCATATAGATTTTTGGTTCTGCAATTAAAGTTTCAGTTCTTCCTACTACTCCTTAATTGTGGAAAATCCCAAATAATTCTCAAATCAAACATTTAAACTCTAAATCAGACAACTAATACTGAATTAGGGGTACGAAAAAGTAGTGTCAAAGGTTTGCCTATTGTAAACTCATTCTTGCCCACAACAGGTTGACAATCTTTTCATTGCAAAGAGGCTGTGACTCAATTTTCTGACTCATCAAAGTGCTAACAATAAAATAAAACTCTACTGTAATCAAAACAGTCAAAGCTATACTGCAGAGTTAAGCAGAATATGTCCCCAGTAATTTGTAATTTCATAAATGCAGGTCAGTTCTTATTTGCTGAGTACATCTGCTATGTGCCGGGCACTATGTAGAGGTAGGAGCATGCGAGGACCAGTAAGAAAGCTTCCACTGTCGAAAGACAAGGAGACTCACATGTGGTCCAAAAACTACAAGCCTAACCCAACCTCAACCCCAAAATGACAATCTTTGTAAAAGACAATAGTTATATACATGCATTTCAGAAAAATGGCTATATGTATACAACCCTGTAGGCAAAAAATGACTAATCCTTAATCTTTAAGGAAAATCTAAATGTATGCACTGCAACCACCATTTCTGGCCTTGGGAAAGAGGAACACCAATGACATTATTATCTGATAAAGAAAACGATCCAATATACAGTACACATTTATTTCAAACAGGCTAAGGCACTGATATATTTAAAAATTCAAGTTCTTAAAATAAACAAAATGTGGTGTATGTATATACATAATGGAATATTATTCAACCTTAAAAAGGAAGGAAATTCTGACACATGCTACAACATGGATAAACCTTGAGGACATTATGCTGAGTGGAACAGACGAATCACAGAAGTATTGTATGATTCCACTCCTATGAGGTCCCTAAGAGGAGTCAAATTCATAGAGACAGAGAGAAGAATGGGGGGTGCCAGGGGCTGGGGAGGAGGAGAGGGAGATTAGTGTTTAATGGGGACAGAGTTTCAGTTTGGGAAAATGAAAAGTTCTGGGGATGGATGGTGGTCACGGTTGCACAACAATGTCAATGTACTGAATGCCACAGAACTGTACACTTAAAATGCTGAATTTTATGTTATGTACATCTTGCAACAATCAAAAATTCCAAGTTTTGGATATCATCACTTATTAATGCTAATAGTGAAGTACTTAATAGCAACCCACAGAAGAGCCAAGACAGCTTTCCTTCCTGATCCCCTGCTGCTGTATTACAACTCTGGACGGTAAACGAAACCCGAACAATCATCCATACGGGCAGTGTGGTTGCGCATTCTTCTAAAAGGGAGAAAGGAAGAAAAACCTTTTAAAATTCTTACCTCCGCTTGCATACTCCATGATTAGGTACAGTGTTTTGTCAGTTTCAATGACTTCGAACAACTTCACTGGGGGAGGGGAAAGAATACAGGAAAAAAAGAAACAAATGTCTTTATGCATATACAATGTACATATAAACTGTAACTATGAACGGTAACTTTTTCCCGGTTAAAGATTTTTATAACTGGCCTTCTTCAGAGAATATTCTTTGGGAATTTTATCGCACACAACAACTGACTTTTAAAAGCATGGAATTCCCTAAGAACAATTTCTGGGTGCTCAAGTGATGTGACTCTGGCATGCACTCAGCTGCCTAGGCAATGCACCTGTGCATATCTCCTCCATCCTCGTCCTGTGCTGTGTCTACACTGGCTAGGTGCCTTCCCAGCAGCTCCGCCTTTCCCCTCAGGAAGAGTTCTTATTTCACATCTAACCTGCAGGAGCTGCTTAGATCTACTCTACTCCTCCAAGTTTAAGTCTGTTCACTTGTCATTATGGCTTTAAGGGTATACAGAACAATTCCACGTGAGATTTCTGTTCACTTGTTCTCAGAGAAGAAGGTTCTTTTGTTACTATTCTGAAGCCAGACATGGAAAATATTAGAAGGAATTATGCTATCATTAATTGAAAAGAACTTTTTAAAGAATTATTTACAATGGGTCAATGTGACTGCGCTATAGCAGTCTCTTGTTACAGATAAAAATAATACTTCTATTACTGCTAATTTACCAAACCAAATCAAATCAATCAGAAATATACACATTTAAAAATCAAACTGAAGTACATGTCTAAAACTACTGAATCACTTTTTCCATATCTACTTTATTTTGGTAATGCATACTTGACAGTTCAACTTACCAAAAAAAGGGGGAGGGTGTGCTAGCCTCTTTTACTGCAGACTATTTTCTGATACTTTAATATAGAGCATCAGACCAAATAAAGTGTCTAACATAGTATGCAATGTTTGTTGAGCTGATGAATAAAACTATTATATCATTTCTTTTTTTTTTTTTTTTTAATTTATTTTCAAGTTAGTTAACATATAGTGTAGTCTTGGCTTTAGGAGTTGTATCATTTCTAAAATGTTATATTCAGGTTGTCAGGAAAAAGAATTTAAAGAAATTTAAGGCATATATGCTGGTAAACCATCAACATTATCAATGCAAATACTGGCTCTTCTGCAAAAGCTCTCTGAATCCAATACAAATGTAAAATTTTAGAAATTTATACCTATTATCAAAGATATGTTATTTAGGAGTAAGTAGAGAGAAGTCTAATCAGGGCACAATTTAACTAAATAAAACACAAAATATGTTTAAGTTAGCAAGTTCTAGGCTGCTGTGATTGGTTATTTGGTGCAAAGCTGGAATCTGAAATCGAGAGTTAGCTAACCACAAAGGGCTGAAATGAAAAGTAAGGAAATGTTTTCTTCCCACTATTATATTCCTTGTTCTACTTCTCCTAACATATATTTATTGATTCTAAGATTTTCACATTTTAACTAATATCACTAATAATAAGATGATGGCTTGGTAGCATTTTTTTTCCTTAGCAGTATGTGAAACTAATAATGCCTTTTAAATAATGTGGCTTAGACCTGATGAAACAGGGTGTAAGCTTTTCCCTCCTGTGGCTCCATTTTATTTTCTATTCTTATGCCTTAAGAATTCTTGATAGGGTCGCAACAACATGGGCAGAACTAGAGGGTATTATACTAAGTGAAATTGAAGACAAATATCACTCCCACTCATATGTGGGATTTAAGATACAAAACAGATGAACAGAAGGGAAGGGAAGCAAAAGTAATGTGAAAACAGGGAGGGGGATGATATATAAGAGACTCTTAAATATAAAGAACAAACTGAGGGTTGCTGGAGGGGTCCTGGGTGGGGGGACAGGCTAGATGGGCAAGGGGCATTAAAGGAGGACATTTGTTGCGATGAGCACTGGGTGTTACACGTAGGGGATGAATCGCTGTATTCTACTTCTAAAATCATTATTGCACTATATGCTAACTAACTTGGATGTAAATTAAAAAAAAAAAAAAGAATTCTTGAAAGGGTATCCTTAGCATCAAATATCATCCCTTCTACTTCCTAGAACTGATTTTGATATTAAGTTGGCTGTCAAGTGGCTGTCTTAACAGCTATTTCACTCTTGAAATAATATTTTTAGATTGTAGGAGATAGCATTGTGCAAAAAAAAGTATTATTTTAAAAGAGCTCTATTATGTCATATGTGGGATCAAGCTTTCATTGAGATGTATATACAAAATACTAAATAATTTGCATACGTTTGCCTTGTTCCAACAATTATGATGAGAGCAGGACCACAGCCCTTCCTCATCCTTACTCACTCACTTATTTTTAAGTAAGCTCTACACCCAACATGGGGCCTGAACCCATGACTCCAAGATCAAGAGCTGTGTGCTCTACTGACTGAACCAGCCAGGCGCCCTTCTACCTTTTTTCACTCCCACCTCATCCCACCTAGCACAAAGCTATGCACACAAAGGGCACATAACACAAATTTGTACTGAACAGAACAATTCCTATCAAAATTCCATTAAATAACAGGTATCCTGTATTTTTAAAAATACAACTCAATATACAAATAATTTCTTAAGAACAATGCCATGGCAAAAACTGTTATACCTTTGAAACCTTAACTCTGACTTATAATTCCCTTCTCCATGAAATAAAATTACGTTATGTTCTAATATGCATTAAAAATTAGAAAATTATAATCTGATTACAGATGTTTCTACTGCATTAAGTTTTAAATTCAAGTGTTTAATACCTATGCTTTTGACTGTCTTCAGCAATTTCAAAAACTTAATACAAATGATCAAAAATTTGTATAAACACAGATTTTACGAAAAGTGTACCTGGGCTGGGAGGAAGGAAGGAATCTCCTACCACTCCTGGGATGTATGTTTAGACACAAAATGGAATGCATTTAGACCCAAAAGTATTTAAGAAAGCAGAAAGTACCTATGTTTGGATGATTTAAAATCTTCATTATTCTTACTTCTCTGAAGAGCTAAAAAACAAACACATAATCCCCCAGCACAGGTTATTAAACATTCTATTCCACTGTTGTAATACAAATTTAAATCTCTTAGATAACTGATCCATTGCTAACGTTCAACAGTCCACATCTAACACTAGTATGAGAGTCCAGGGTAGCTATAAATGCTTCAGTTTTATCTCCTGAAAAAGCAGAAGTCCCAGAGGAGGATGATATAACAATCTGCATTATATTTTGCTATCCTGAACATATGAGACCATTTAGGCAAGAACAGTCTGTGATGAAACTTAGTCTGATTCAGTACCTACCCAGGGGCAGATATTGCAAATCCATACATGTACAGTCCTAAAGAACTACGTCACAAGTGCATTCGACTGATAATTCCAAGTAATTCTACAAGAAGACTTTGAACAAAACCACTTTGGGAAATCCTTGTTGGAGAAGGCAGGTAATTTAGCATGGAAGTTGTGGCAGACTGTGACACTAATGATCCTACTGAGCCCTGTCTCGCATGTTCATGCTTTTGCATGGGCTGTGTGACCTGCTCTGGCTCTGGCCTGTGGGACAGTACCAAATTTGAAGAAAAGGCTTGATAAGCGGTTGAATATCAGGGCTTGCTCTCTTGGAATGATGTTGGCATGAAATGAAGAGGCCAGTCCAGCCTCTTTAAGGATGAAAGGCTGTATGTAGGAAAAGAGCCACTGCTCCAACAGAGGACAGCCCCATCAACTTGTCAACCGAATGCTGCCATACAAGTGAACCCAGCAGATGCCATAACAAAAACCACCCAGGCAAGCCGAGAGCTGTCCAGCCACCACAAAGAATAAGGAGAAATATCAACCTGTCGTATACACACGTGCTGTAAATTCAGAAGAGGGGCACAGTGTACGGACTCGGCTAGTGTCAGAAGACCTCAGAAAGTAACAATTCTAGAGACCATCTTATTCCACCCTCTTGCAAACAGGTGGAAACCAGGGAAGGGGAGGAAAAAAAAAGATCGCCGAAGGTCCTGCTCTCTTTCTGTAGGGAACTGGGCTACTAGAACCAGGTCTCCCAACACCCAGTATCCATAACCCATGAGAGGCATGGGCTGAGCAGAACTTGGGAAGGAGGAGCAGCTGACTATGTGGAAAGGAATCTGGGGAGAAATCACAGGGGTCTTACCGCACTTGCCCTGCCCACCACATCTAATCTAGAATTGAATCGGCACCTAACAGCTAAGAGCATGGAGATGGGCATGGATGTATCTGACCTATAAACCGAGCTCAGGGCCTAAAAACATGGGGTCAGAAGAGTAAGACTCCTTTCCCGAAGGCTGGGTCATCTCTAAAGGCACTTTTCTCTCCAACACAAATCTCTCCTGTTGCTGCTGTGGTCATTTTCACATTTTATGTTCTGAGATGAGAAGTAACTACCCTGACTACCACTCAGGCTTGAGTCTGTAGTTTCCCTCTGTCAAGCCAACATAGAAATCCTGTTTTCCAATCCATTATAGTTGAATTTGTAGCATATAATCTGAAACTCCCAGTTATTTCCACAACTGCTAAATTAGGAGAGCTCCAAGTTAGATACAAAGCCAAAACAAGTTAGGACACTGCATTTCGAATGAAACCCAGGCTCGCTCCTCCCACCTCAGCTCCAGCCACCCCAACTCCGTGACTCCTCTCAGGTAGGAGAGCATACAGAGCTCCTTCCTTCCTTAGAGTCTCTTCTTTCTGTCCTTGAAGTCTCAGGCAGATCCTCTGTAAACCTCACCTGAGAAGATCTTTGTTTTACACCAGAGCGGTCTGTTTGCTTCCTCATTACAATGTCTTTCAAGTGTGAGGACACACTTTTGTGGACCTGTGGGGAGGGGGCACATCCGTGTCCTTTCACTACTGTACTTGAGACCAAGCCTGGCACACAGCACTCCTCTGGCACACGTACTGACCACCAAGCAGTGTGGTTTCATAGTTCTGCGGGCAGGAGGGCAGGTCAAATGAAGGTGATCAGTTTTAAATCCCTACTGGCAGTGCAGCAACTGAAACAAAGTACTCAGGGCCAAGGAGCAGGAAAAGATGATGCAGTATTCCAGGAGCCCAAGGGAGGCAAGAGCTCACTTTAGTAACCAGACTTGTGCAGGACTTAACAAGAGGTCTACAGCAGAAAATGAGCTCAGTGTGCTTTGGACACATGAGGAAAGATATGGCGTGACCAATTAAGACTATTTAAGGGGGTGCCTGGGTGGCTCAGTGGGTTGAGCGTCTGACTTCAGCTCGGGACATGATCTGATTGTCTGTGAGTTTGAGCCCCGTATCGGGCTCTGTGCTGACAGCTCGGAGCCTGGAGCCTGCTTTGGATTCTGTGTCTCCCTCTCTCTCTGCCTCTCCCCAACTCATGCTCTCTCTCAAAAATAAAC